AATGCTTGCAATAACTATAGAAATATACTTTTGTTAAACTATTTAAATTTGAGTTTTCGTTATTTACAAAATCGATTTAAATAGAAATTTCCACAAAAGATAATTAAACTCAAATTAAACGAAATTTTAATCTAAATTCAATAGTTATGCTTAATATAGTGTCAGACAACTAATTGCATCCATGTTTACAGAATATGGTAATATTTATTTAGTATTCTATAAAGAGACTAACTTATATTTTTATCGTTTAATTTATAATCAAATGTTTAAAATTCAAAATAATTCAATCAATTTGTTAGAAGATTTACTTCAATAACGTTTCTCTTTAATTACTTAAAATTATTAAATATTTATATTTTAAGGCTTTTATGCTAACAGTAATATTATATTAAAAATTACTTTTATTAAAATATTCAATGCAATTATTATCATATATTAGGGAGTTTTCGTTCAATTATTGATGTAAATTGAATTTTAATACAAATTAATATCAATTATTTAGTTTAATTCAATGAATACTCTTCTGTTTGTGAGAAAATGAATTAATTTAATAACAATTTGTAAACATATAAATGAATTTATATTTTCATTAATTTCTAATTACGTCAATATTTTCGTCGGTTTTTTGTTGTTAAAGCAAATAATAAAATAAAAGATAATTAATTTTTTCGCTAATGATTTTCTGTGCAAATGTTTGATACAAATAGATACTAACATTTGATATGTGTTTGCAATACAACAAAATATATATGATTTGGAGTAGAAATGCATTTTCGTGTTGTAATTCTCATAACAAAATGCAAAACAATTATTATTCATGAAATGTTGGGCTAATTATTAAATCGATTTTAGATTTGATCGCAACATAATTGTGACGAACAGATCATTTGCTCAAAACATTAGCGTTTTTTCCCACTTGTGTTCAACGATCTCTAAAACCGATTGAAAACTTGTTTAAATCCTCGCAAAATAGACATAAACTATAGCCAAAACACTAAACCAAATGTCATTAAATGGCAAAATACAGTTTACCATTACATTCCTCTTAAATGGGAATCAGATTTCAATAAAAACTAACGATTAAGGGATTCATTGAAAATTATAGGTTAAGGAATTGTTTTATTAGATTTGAGTTTAGAGTTTGAACACAATTTTGCGATAATTCTCTATCGCCTTCTCCTCTCGCAATCAATTTGAATATTATATTACTTTTTCGCGCTTTTCCCTCAACGCTAACCTCAAATCAAATGTTAATTAAAAGTTTATTGGAATAAAGCAAGTGATCATTACATTAATTATAATAATAAGCATTTATATAATCTATAACATCATCTGTATGTGTGTCTCTATGTGTGTCTGTATGGATAGGTATGGTTTAGCAACCGTCGGGCCAAATGGCGCCGACACCAGCGGATGTCAAACTCCAACAGTTCAAAGTACTCGTTGATGGGCTCAAGAGATTCCGGCGATTCTCCAACGGTTGACATGAATTCGCGGGATTCTTGCGCTTCGCGCGACTCCTTTGACACCATATCATCGCAACCGCCGAAACACCGAAGCAATCATAGCTGTAATAGTGACACTCCCCGCGGCTCTCCCTCACCACAACCCTCCGACACCATCGACATTACCACCACTAAAGCCACTAGTCTTACAATTGGTGGCCACAACTCGGCCTTCAAGAAAATCAAATAATACCCTACGATATACGATATACACGCCATCATAACATCATTTGAGAAAACATTACGAAATTGTTTCAAACAGTTTCTTTGGATAACTTCTTATATGCATAGAAAACTTATTTGAATTTATTTCCTTTTCATTGCTATTGATTTAATAATAAGCACTTTTCGTATAAGCTATACATTATTTAGCAAATATGTAAATAGAGAAACACACAAATCATTATAAAATTTATAAACTAATTGTTATTATGACTGACATTAATATAATCCGATTATAATTTATTATTCAAACTCTTTTCTTTTGCAGTTAATAAACAGAATGATTAGATATTAACGATAGAAACTATAAATATATTGCTTTAAACCCCTTAATGTGTATATAAATAACATTAACATTAAAAATTGATTGATTTAAAAGTTATATACATTTCTTTTGAGCGCTTGTTTTATATGATTTTTTATCCAAAAAACACGGCAAGAGTTGGGCTTAAATGATATTTTTGCGGGTTTTACGGGTTTGACTCTTTCGTATACATAACTATCACATTGTATGCCGAGAAATATGTGGGGAAAGAAACCTTAATTACCTATAATTAGGGAAAATCTGTAAGCATTTATCAATCGATTACAAATGTAATAAAAAACAAATCCAATCGATAATACATTAGTTATGTATTTTGTCAAAGAAATTGATTCAAACATTTTGAAACCAACACTTTATCATAAAATTGATTATACATTATATAATAATAACAACAATAATAACGATTTGCGCAAAAAGTTTCTAATTTATTATACATTAGTTTTATTTCGAAACAATTTCAATAAAATTAAACCCAAAACAAAGTTATAATTAATTAAATTATTAGTTTATTTTAATCGACTTATAAGTCGTCAATCACTTTATTGCTACCAAATAACTGAATAAAAATAACTAAATTAAGCCATAAATCTATAAATAATATAATAGTTTAGCGCATAAAACAAAAAATATACAGACTGTGTAAACCATTTTTGATGAGTGCATATTTGCATTGAAAAGCATTACAAGAGTAGGTTATCTTAAACGGGTGTAGATCAGGCATTTGTAAACCAATTTTAATAAACTCGGCTGTTTTCAATTAATTAAGAGTTGTACTTTATATTTGCATACTTAGTATTTAAGTTTTCCTATATATCTAGAATTTAAACCAGAATATTCTAACTTTGTTGAACAATTTATATTTTTGTTAATTTTTCAATGTAATCCTATGGAAAAAGTTAACATAGTAAGAAAATTACAGAGGAAAGAATGGTTATGAAAAATTAAATATTATGATGAATTAACAAATTACATATGATGGTTAATCTGTTAAATTAGTATTGTCTAATTACACTTACTGTTTCAAGAAATAGATAAGGTCACAAAATCAATAATATTTTAAATTTGATATTTTTACAATAGAATTATTCCTGGTAGACCTAGAGATTATCGATTATTATATAAATTATGCTAAATTAAACATGAATTATCGGCTTATAAATTCCACGAATTACTGTTAAGAAAAATATTATATAACATGGATAAAATGAAAATAATGTAAAAGCTGTAAAATCATCAAAAGTGGTTTACACACACTGTATATTATTTTTTTGAAAGCAATCATATTTCAAACAAAACTATTTTATCATACATTAAAGGGTGGAATAAATTTACAGATATTATAATCTAAAACCAATAAATTTTTGTCCAAATCTATCAAAATGTTTTCTTTTCATCATTAGTTAAATACATGTGATTTATAAATATTAAATTTAATTTATGAACTAGTGTGCAAGATCAGTTACTCTTAACTTTATGCAAATTAACAGTTAAAATAATTATTTTATTGCTCTCTAAGTAAGAAATTATAAAAAAATATGCAATTAATTTAAAAGTTAATAGAGTTTTTTATTAGACTGTCAATTAATTAATAATATAATAATGATTTAATTATATTTAATTGTAATTAGTTTAAGTATAAAAATAATTGTTTAAACGATTTTCAATACAAATCAAAATAATGTATTCATTAGTAACGAGAATAAAAACAAAACAAAAAACTATTTTAACGACAGTTCAACATAAGTAAAGAAAACAAATGTCATAATTAAGTTCAAATGTAATTACAATTAATTAAACAATTAATTTCAATTAAAATCAATCGCTAAGAAATTACTGTAAAAAGTTTAACTCTATAACAATTCAATGAAATACTTACCGGCCGTTTGTCTCCACCTGTTGTCCGCAAAACCAAATGAATGCCTAAAAATGTTTTAATCCTTTTCTGAACTTAAGATAAGGAGAGAAAGAGATAGAGAGAGCCATCGAGAGAGTAAAGTGAGTGTAAAATAGGTGGCAAACTATTTTTGAGCGCATAGTTTGAATGGATGTAAAATTGGGAAAATATAATCTATACTTTTTGTGATAAAGATTTTTTTGGGCGAATAATATATGAAAACCTGTTTTTAGGGCTCAAATAGTTTGCTTTCGGCGATTTCGCCATCACTTATAAAAACACTTATACTCTCACTCTCTGTCCACTTCTCTCCGTTTCATTAGACCTTTACTTTCACTCTTCAAAAGTTTGGGTTTAAACTTATTTTTAGTTTTTTTTATTAATCATTAGTTTTCTGGTACTGTTTTTGTTGAGTTGGAAACACAAGTTTATAGTTATTTTCCCTTTCATTAGTAATATTTGAGTCAATAATACCTTTTTTCTATACTTTTGTTGCAAAAGTTGACAAATCTATTGTCTATTGATTTGTTTGGACACGCGTTTGCTTTTTGTATCTCATTTCGTACCTGTATTATCATATTTGCTATTTATTTCCATAATAGTTATGATTGAATACATAAATAATTACGAGTTTATCAATATCTTAACTCCGGTTTTGTTGCTTTTGTTTCTAATACTTTGTGCTATTATTACCATTAAATCAAAATTAAAGCAAAAGAAATGGATAAGAAGTGAGTGTTTTTTGTCATGTATTTTGCATAAAATATAACACAATTTTTCGTTTCATTTCCGAAACAAACGTAATATTGTTTGAGAAGAAAAATAAATTTAATTTTTGCCATTTAATGGGAAAAACGCAAATGTTTTGATAAAGATTATGCTAAACTAGTTTACTATTAACGCTATATATGAAGCATATCTTATGAGTTCTCTAAACTTGTGTTATGTTTGAAAAGTTAACGATTTATGTAAAAATATATAATTATATAATTTAACATTTTATTTACAACGATGAGGTCCGCCGTCGCCGTTGAGTCTGCCAGTGATTGGACACATGTATCTGTTGTCCAAATATAAGGACAACCCGTGGATGGGATTTAACGAAATCCGGCGAAAACACGGAGACGTCGTGGGCTTACAGTTGGGTCAACAGAAGGCTGTATTGGTCTCATCGGCGGAAGTGATGAGAGAAGTGCTTCTCTTAAAGGGCGACATATTCTGCGATAGACCGGCCTTTCATAGATATGCCCTCATCTTTGGTCGCGATCGACATAACTGTAAGAAATCTATTATTCTTGACATTAAGTTTGCCTATAATTGCTATAATTGGCGACTATTTTGCGGCACCGGTGGACAGCTCTGGCTCTTTGCGATTGGTCTGAAGTGCAGAAAGTTCGCCGATCTATGGCTCAGTCGGGAGTTATTCCCAAATACGGTTCCAAAGGCTATAGGAATCTCTCGAAATGCATTGAATCTGAGATTAAATTAATGATTGAGGAAACGATTGGCACTAAAAAGATGTTTGTTTTGGCGAAACAAGACGTCCTGATTCTGTGCGCAAACATATTCATGAAGTATTTGTGTTCAAAAAAGTAAGTTTTCGTTATATTCTTGTTATTAAACATAACTTAAACATAATTTTAAAAAAGCTTGATATAGAGAAAGGGAGAAGAATATTAAACAGGGTGGGAATTATATGTATATAATTATAATAAAGTCATATCAATGTCACAATTTCTATGCTCTCAAAGAATTAGTTAATAGCTATTATTTATGACCAGTTTATGACAAATTAATGGTTTGAATAAAATTTTATATCATGTTTGATGTATTTTATGATTTAGGCCTCCAAATGGTTGCACAAAGTTTTTAGATTCCGTCCAGAAGTACGACTACATCTTCCACGACATTAACCAATGCTATGCCATTGATTTCATACCCAATTTATCAGTGTTTGGATTGCATAAGAGTTACTTCGACTCCGTTGAGGAGTCGGCCATCAGTTTGAGGTAATAATTGGTTTTGATTAACCCATTGGGCACTGAATTATCATTGATTTAAATGTACCAAAAATGTACCTTAAGAAGCAAATGAAGTAGTTTTTAGAGAGTTTGATGGCTTTTATTTCGTAAAACGGGTTATTCAGGCAACAGTGCATCTGTTGTATCGCTGTTATCATTATTTGAGGCTATTTTTCATACAAGAATTGTTAGTATAAATTCTCACACAAAACCAAACCAAACCATAGGTCTGCCCCCCGACTGTGTCCTATCCTTGGGATCATCAGTTTGTAGAGAATTCTAGTTTCGTGAGTGAATTGAATGTCAAAATCACTTTCACTAACTCAGTCTCTCTCTCTCTCTCTCTCTCTCTCTCTCTCTTCTCTTACTCTCGAGGGAAGTGTAATTAAATTCATGCCTAAAGACATAAGAAGAGTCTTAAGACTATTTTCAGTGAACACATGTGGATATACCGGTTCACCACATATGACACTCCACACTAACCACTGCCACTATCTCATCACAATTTACAGTTTTTTGCACATATTTCTTCTTTTTTTGGTTTATTTTGTGTGAATTTTTATTTTGTTTTACAAAAAATAGGAATTAAAGAATTTGAATATTAGTTTCAAGGCTTTTGTTTGGTTTTTTTGTTTAGTTCAGAAAAATTTTACTAATAGTTTGGAAAATACAGAAATGATTTGTTTTGCGATTGAAATAGAGATTACGTGGAGAAAGAAGCGGTCGGTAACAGATTGGAGGCGACTGTCGCTCGACTCGAAACGGATGGAAAGGATGAATACGAAGATTTCCTAGAGTTAATGTTAGAGCATTACGTGAGAAACCCGTCGTCCATGAGTTGGACGGTATGTATGTATGAAATCGGAGACTTAATTGGCGGCCAATCGGCGGTCGGAAACCTATTGATGCGTTTGATTGGATTCGTGGCAATGAATCCTTCCGTTCAGAAAGAGCTATACATTGAGGCGAAGAACGCGTTGAAGACGCGCCCATCCGATGATGATATCATCACTTTAGATCACAGACCAGTTATGCCATTAACTGAGGCCAGTATTCTTGAGACACTTCGTCACACGTCATCGCCAATTGTTCCGCACGTTAATAGAGTGGACACAAAACTTCAGGGTATAAACAATAATTGTTTGCATTGGCTATACTATACTGTACTGAACTGTATTTCAATATAATCGACATTTATTCTGAATCTCAATTCTGGTTTACATTCTGGGTTTAACATGTGTTTCAATGATATATTCCTATAGAGTATGACATCTCGAAGGGAACAATGGTATTGTTCAACACGTATTACCTGAATATGTCGCCTGAGTTCTGGTGCGAACCTCAACGGTTCAATCCTTCGCGCTTCATATCTTCGAGTGGAAGCGTTAGCCATATATCAAAACCGGACCACTTTTTCCCCTTTTCAAGTGGTCGTCGCGCGTGTTTGGGATACAAAATGGTTCAAACGATTGCGTTCACAGCGATCGCTAATTTGGTTCTCAATTACGACATCTCAGCCCTAAATGATGAACAACTCTACGAAATGGGCCGACAATTGGCCCCAAAAGGATGTCTGGCATTGGATTTGTCAGACAAATGCTTTAAGGTTTCCCTAAGTCCAAGGTCTGAGAAATAAGTAGTTTTTATATTAATTTTAAAATTTACTGTCATTTGGACGACAGTTCTCATAAATTTAGGTTAATTTTCCCCTTAGCTCTCCATTCCTTACATTTCCCTAATTTATTAAATATAAAGCAAAATGTTATAAATTTTCTCATAATTTTTCATCCGATTATAAATTAGAATATTTATCAAAAAGTTTTTTGGTTTCGGTTATTATAGAAGTTATGTTTTATGTAATAATTGTATTTAATTTATATCAAATATAAAGCAATCTATTTTATGTAATGTTTAACCCAATCGTCAATTTGGTTTTGAAATACATTTAATCTTTTATAATAAAGTATAACTTAAACTACATTTTCTCTCAACTCATCCCTTCATTAATCGTTGGGTATTTTTGGCCTATAATTGCCAAACAAAGACTCGATACACAGTACATATTATGTACAATCCTTACATATGAAATGATTAGACCATGTTAATTTTATAATGCTTTGATTTTTATTTATAACAATAAATCAATCAAATTCTAAGATCTAAAGTGCGGTTTGAGTCTGAATTTCAGACAGAATTTGAAATTTACATTTAAATATAAAGCCTTTTATATAATATGCATAAACCGTAAGATTGTTTAATATAATTTCAAATTGAGTATAAAATTTAACAATTAGTTTTCTCTATTAAAATAAATGACTAATCAATCGATTAATAGATCTATTCATTAAATCTAAGATTATTTGCGAATAAAATAAAAATCATATTTTCAAACAAAATAGGTTTTAGGCGTAAAAGCATTCGGAGGAATGCGAAGAGCTATTACCGGTGTAACCATTACAAGAATATAGGTTTGATTTATGATTGTTAGACGTATACAACTGCAAAGCAGCCGAATGTAGTTTCTGGACAAAGTCGGGAACACCGCTGACGGCCATCCAATTATAGGCGGGCGACGGGAACGCAGCCCTCGGGTCGTCAAAGTATGTGAGCAGATAATCAAAGCCGCACTCATCGAAACTGGTGTGCGGTTTGATCACCATTTGGGACGAGTAGTCAACGACACGCACGTGTTGTGTAGTTTCCGGCAATTTGGGAAATTCAATCGCTTTCGAGACCAAAACCATTAGATTCTGTTTGATATCGATTCGGGCTCTCCTTAAATACACGTAATCTCTGGTATTCATCGGATACTAAACGAAACAATTAATCCCAAATTATGGCCCAATTTAGACATTAACTTATAGTCAGAGTATTACCGGGTATTTCATAATCCAATGCAGGACTTGATTCCCGGAATCTTCACAACTCTGTTGGTCTTTATCGGCAAAAAAGGGCTCCTTTTCAATGATATCGAGTTTGATCACCAGTTTATCCCATTTCTTGCGGTATTCGGTGTCCATTTGTACTCTGAAGAAACTTCGGGCCGGGATGTCATTGAATGTACCAAAAACTGTGTACAAAATGCATTATTTCATAACATATGCCATAAAATGAGCGCTCATTGAATGCGCAAACCTTTGTATTGATAGAGAGAAGTGTTGGGAATCGCTTTGCGCCACAGTTTGAAGTCATCCCTCATAATAACGGCTTCCCATTGGCCGTCGTTATCATTCATACTGTGCGTCTCTGCGGACACTGAAAACGAGGTACTCTTCGGCATATTGTCATTGTTTGGGATCCGATTACTGGCGCCCACTCTCTGTACAGTTTCAAAGTCACGTATGGTTTGCCTGAGGTCTCCATCAGTGATGCGCTGACTGTCCCAACAGAAGAGCCCGCAAACGGCAGACATGAGACATTTGATCGAGTCGTTGGCCTTCTTGTCGCCACTCAAGCGGTTGCGCAACGACTGCAGCGCTCGAGCCTTCAGACGGATCAGCATTTGTGACATGAGTTTATTGACCGTCGATTCGCTGTAAATCCGGTTATAGAGGCCGCAGATCTGTGCCATCCGTCGCAGCCGTAAACTCATGTAAACGTTGGACTGTTGTCTCAGAAGTGTCACAAAGAGTATCACTTTGGCGTTCAGCTCATCCCTCAGCTGATCCCATACCGACCGACCATCGCGTACGCCATTAGTGGCCAACCGTTGTCTCAGCGCTTGTCCTCCGGTGGCGTTCAATGACTGCAATCTCTGTCTCAACAGAGTTTGTGTCCGAAACTGATTCGCAATCATATGATTTGTGGCCAAAAACATGGTTTTGTTTCAATCCATAACTCAATGCGAATCCAATTGTAATCAAAACAATAGTCAAAGTAAACATGCATTCAATACATGTGTCCATACATTACGTCCACATTCTGTACGACAGGAATAATGTCTGGCATTCAGCGAATCAGGCGTTCATTTGATCGCAATTTAACGCCAATTAATCCATGGCTTCAGTCATGGCTTTCACTCAGAGTCCGAACGCGTGAACACGTAATCCATTCAACCCTTAGGTGTTGTCCAATGAGTGCGCGCTTTGAATGCGTTCTCCAAATGCAAGTCAAACGAAAGAAAAGTGAACTCAAGAATGGAATGACGCGAACAGAGCGTGAAATTCAAACTCCGAAACAACAGTTGAATCGTTATTATCTCCGAGAGAGTGAGTCATCGGTTCGATCGTTGAGTTGACAGCCATTAGTCATATCAGCAGTGATTTGTGTCTTCGCCTAAGCATTGGTTCCCCCTTTCGATCGCGAGCTTAACATCGGATCCAATGGACGGCACGTCATGTGACGCGTCGTCGCACTCTCTGTACGCCACCCAAGACTGTGCGCCCAAACCGTGTCCACCGCTCAGCGCTCCCGACGGCCACACCTGCGGCGACGGCCGACACTCGACACCAGCGGTGACCGCACCAGTAGTGGCATCACTAGTGGCCGCCACCGACTCCTCCGAAGAGTGTCGCCGAGACGTGACGGCCGACGACTGTTCCGACCACGAGATCGACACCGCCTTCAAAGGCGACGGCTTTCTCCGCACTCACGACTCCGACGATGACATCGACGCCAACGACGACGACGAAGAGGAGGACCACCAGTCGGGCCACACGTGCGGCGACGCCAACCATCGGGTGATACAAGCGTTGCATCAAATGAATGGCCGCCAGAATCTCAACGTGAAGACCGTCTCGAAGGAGGAGTTGACGCCCGCGTCCGGCGACGACTCGAACGGCGACTCTTTGGCGAACACCAGAAGTCACACCACTATTAAGACTACACCCGAGAGCCGACCGAAAGAGTACCGGAAGTCGCGGCCATACAGTCTGTCCAACAAATGGGGCGAAACTGTGGGCATAATCGACGCGAACGGACGCCCGAAACGAGTGGTGAATTTGTCTGAACTGAAGAATTACGTGCCGTTGCGGATGAGATACAGCTCGCAATTCAAGTACTACTTCGCGCTCATCGATCAGCGATACCCACAGCTGTTCCGTTCGTATTCGTCGGGCGGCCAGAGATGGCGAATGCGATACAATATCTTCGTCGACGGCCTCTTCGATCCGCTCAAGAAGTTTGACTCACTTCTACACATCGGAGAGATTATGCTGTACTTCGACATCGGGAAGGATCTGTCGATCCCTTATTACGTCAACTCTTCGTTTTACGGCAATTACACTCCGCTCGAGAGGAATGTGGACACTTCACGGCTCACCCGAATGATTGTCCGCCTCCACGAGATCCTCTCATCCAGTCTTGTCCTACAACTTAAGTTTCCGGCCGACGAGAAGGCCTTCAAACACACCGACTCTCTCTTCTATCGCTTTTTGGTCCGTCAGAAGGAAATGATGGATGAGTTGCGGTCTCTCGACAACCGCTCCAAGAAGTGGTTCCCAATGAAGCATAGGTTTGCCATCGAGACTAAGCGCGGCATCGGTTTGGACACCAGAGACGACTTTCACCGCAGACCTATTGACAACCGAAGTCGCGATCACACCTTCAGATCCGGTCAGAAACGAACCGAAGAGAAGGCCGAGAGTTCGGCCAATACTGGCGGCGCTTCCAATGAAACCAAGAGTCAGAAGAGCGACGAGAATAGAGGGAAACGATTTGAGACACGATTTGGTTTGCGTTTTCCCGACATTTCGGCGCCCTTTCGAAGAGTCGATGAATCGTTTCCATTGCGAGAGAAGAACTCGAACTTGAATTTGGGTCACATGTCTGTCGGCGACAGAAATTCATCGAAAAGTTTGTCCAAAAAGCCATATCAGAGACGGAATCAAAGCGTCGAACGAATGGATTCGGCCGTCGGTTCCAGAGATACGGATGAGTTGAGAGACGACCGAAACCGCAGCGACCGCTCGCGACCGAAGACCAGACGCCGTTAGACTCAAACATTTGGCTCTTTTAGTTTCATTTCACACAATTTTGAGTCATTTGTTAAATTCTTTTACTTTTTACTTCAAATTTAGTGGAAATTTGATTTTAAAATTCATTCATTTGTCGTTCACTTACTTTAAAAGTATTTAATTTCTTAATTTAAATTTTTATTTGTGTTTATAATTTGTTTTTTTTGTATATAATTAATCTATTTTTATGTTTACTTTTGAATAAATAAATTTATTTAAATAAACGACGACTTGATGTAAAAAGTTTTTGGTATAATTAACAATATTTTAGTGCATGTTTTCAACTGAAGAGTTCACTGTTAGGCATAGATTTGGCTTAAAATTATTCTTTGGGTAAGAATTGTGGATAATTTGTCAGTAATATTGTGTATATTCTGTTAACATTATGTAATATAGATTTAAAAATATTAATCTATTTTTCATAAATATTAATATTTACGACAACATTAAGAAAATATGGCATTTTATTTAAAACTAATTAAGTTTATTATATATACTTTATATTTTAATAACTTTATTAATGTTTTAAAATACTGTATACAATATGCGAATATAGTATGGATGGATGAATAAGGATATTAATAGTGCAGTAATTTTAGAAATATTTATGTCTTATTGTGTTTACAACAAAATTTTGAAAGCTTTAAATTCAACATAACTGACGAGAATTACCTATTTTTCTATTCTATTTGTAATATACTGTATATTCCTAAGTACTATACTATCCATAAAAGTATTGTTAAATTATTTATGGCCTAATATTTAAGAATTTTGGTCGGTTTGAAATCAAAGCCAATAATATATTGGTTGCCGACGGCTGTGAGGATACACCACAAGATAAATGCCATAAATTTATGTTTTAAGAATTGAAACCAATTACTGACTTCATTCATGTCTCAATTATATGTTTATAATATCATAAAATGTATGTATTGTTAAAAAGTTTATTTTCTTTTTAATCTTATTCTAATAGCTGTTTGTTTAGAATAATATAGATTTTTAATTAATGCCTTATTTTTATTTAACAAGTTTACACTTTTCGTAGATCTCAATGCAATTTCATTTCAAATTAGGAATTATTTATTTGTTAAATAAACAGAGTCTCTAAAACCTGTTAACCAGTAATTATATAATAAAGTAATTAATAAAATACTTGAAAACCCAAATTGAGAACAAATTTGGTGAATATCTTATTCTGTGTGATATATACCGTATATTTTGTTGACATTAAAGCACATCTCAGCCAATACTGAAGTTTGAGATAATGTTTACCCGAAAATAAGTTGAACACAAGTAGACGTTTGCCTGAAGTTTGATAAGATATCAATGATTTATTGCATTTCTATGACATATAGTAAAGCAATTAATAAATAATTCGTAACAATTATACAGAAAAAATAACTTAGTTTTCTATTATAATTTCAAACAACTTTCTTATCTCAAGTCTACAGCAAAGCAATTGATTGGTAAGACTTCACAGAAATAAAGTACACAACGAAACACATCGACAAATAGAAGAAGTTATTGAAAATTTTATAATTTATTTGTTGCGAACAAATCATTTCAGATTTGAAAAGTCAAACAATTTATTTCATATCTTTATTTCCAGTGCTCTATCTCTACACCAAATGACTATTTAATAGGAATTTAGCGCAAAAAGATAGCAATGAAATTCTCACACATTAATTGTTTGCATTGATGTCTGAGGTCTGACAAGTGAGTGAATAATTTGTGTCCATTTAAACAATTTCTGTTTAAAGCAAAGTTTGTTTCGAAAATAAAAAAACAAATTTACGAAAACAGATGAAACAGTAGTTTTTGAGGTCTTCTCATAGCTATAAAAAGGTATTGAAGAAGTTTAGACACCTTTAGGGCTAATCCAAGATTAGTTTTGGTTGAGTTTTCCCGAAGTTGTTCTTTGCATTTGAATTTAATGTCTCGGCTGACAATATGTGAGTGCAGTTATGCTATAATTAAGGCCTGGCCTGTCATACGTTAACTTTAGGCAAAAATACACACTTTTTGTCGCTTCAATTACTCGTATTATGTTCTTCTGTTAAGAGAGCTTTTAATGACAAGTCGTAAAGTGATCATAGGCTGGCCTCTGGTCTCTCTCTCTCTCTCTCGAGCACAGGTTAGGGATAGTCTTTGTTAAAGAAAATTGGAGGTAATTCTTGGAAACGATCATAGATTTGAAACTCAAAAGTTTTAGTACTTTTAGCATTGATTACTCGCAATTGAGCTCAATATGAGGCCAATAGCAATTTGGGAGTCTGTTATCGGTTGGAGAAAATTGGAGGTAATTCTTGGAAACGATCATAGATTTGAAACTCAAAAGTTTTAGTACTTTGAAAGAGCGCCTCTCTCTCTCTCTCTCTCTCTCTCACTCTCTCTCTCTCTCTCTGGTTGAGGTGCATATTCGGGCCCTCAAGTGGTTCTAGCATTTGGACGCTATGTTGTGTTCATATCTAATTAAGCGACAGCAGCTTTTCGTTTGTTAATTTATTTGGCTTTTGGTAAATGCGGTTATTGTGCGTCAAAAGAGTAACCATTGGTCACGCCTTGTGTTGCCTTCAATGCCTCGATTGCCTCCAAATTGCAATGCAATCCACAAACGCATCAATACATTCACGTTATCCCATGTCGTCTACCCTTAAGAGGCGAACACCACTTGAAAACTGTTTACAAATACGCTATGACTTCGGAAATGAACGCAAATGTTAAGAGTGAGAGAACTGAGAGAACGAGAGGCGCTCTTTCAAAGTACTAAAACTTTTGAGTTTCAAATCTATGATCGTTTCCAAGAATTACCTCCAATTTTCTTTAACAAAGACTATCCCTAACCTGTGCTCGAGTTTTATTGTCCACTTCAACACTGTCTTCATGTCCTCACATTCATCCTAACAAACGCTTCAACGATATCTAATTGAAAATATATTACTAT